CCTCTTAATTTTACAAGTTTAATCACTACATTATCTATACCTCTAAACAACTAAATCATTAAAATATTAAAAGTGAAGGGCCATACATATTTTTAAAGCACTATACTTGAGACTTCCTTCTAAGTTGACACTGAATTAATAATGAGTCAATTACATCATTTCTGAATACACCTTTTTGTACTATTAAATTAACTTACCTTCATTTTTTCCCACAAGAATAGCATGAGGCACCTCATCAGATGCTTTGCTTTAAAAAATTATATTGCTAAACAATTTTCCATTAATTATCTTGTAGGGTATATTCTCCTTAAATATTTCTGTCTATAACTTTTCTCTATCTTCAAAGCAGTCATGATTTGGATTGTCTTAATAATTATCTTCTCTTTATGACTATAAAACTACATTAAGCTAGCTGCCATTTCACTTATTTTTAACCAATCCTGTCCCTTTTCCCACAGGCTGAAATTCCCTTGCACAGTACTAAGGTTTTGCAATAGAATTTCCTTACTGTGAAATTTTATGGCTGTAGTACTGAAGATTGTAATTTGAGGCAGAGCTAAATGGCAGAGTACAAACTGAAACCCAGCCGAACTCTCAACATTGCTCTCCAAACAACTTTAAAATGATGCCTAAATCAAATTCTGGAGTGGCAGAGCCAACAAAAAGTCATTTTTCCAGCCCAAGACAATTTAGGAGGTCAGAAGGAGAGGTATGTGACACAGAGGTGAAGATGACCAGGAGCACAGTGCATACCTCACAGTACCTGTAGCAGGCCTTAGATTCGGCAGCAACAGAGATCATATGCTATGCCCAGGAGGGATTTGTACCAAGAATGTAGGACTGGTTCAATATTAGGAAAGCTAAAGATATAATTGACCGCATAAGTAACAAAAATAACAAAAACCATATGATTGTATCAATAAATGCAGAAAAGGGTTTCCAGGGGTGGGAAACTTTTGGCTTCATGGCCATATGTGGCCTTCTAGTCCTTGGGGGCAGCCTTTTGACTGAAGAACAAATTCTTTTAGCAAGGGGATTTGTTCTGTGAAGTTTGGATTCAGTCAAAAGGCCACACTTTAGGACCTAAGGGGCCACATGTGGCCTTGAAACCACAGGTTCACCACCTCTAGTTTTGAGAAAATACAACACTCATTCCTATAAAAAACATGAGAAAGAATGTGAAGAAATAGAGCTTTCCTTAAAATGACAAGTAGTACCTATCTAAATCATTAGTATTTCTATATATTACCAAAAAATCCCATTAGGAAGAGATAGAAATATAAATGCCATTTAGTAACTACAGACAATATAAAATACTTGGGAATCTATTTTCTGAGACAAACCCAGGAACTATATGAACAAAATTATAAAACATTTTTTTCCCCACACAAATAAAGACAGATCTAAACAGCTAGAGAAGTAGTAATTGCTCATGGTTAGGAAGAGCCAATATAGTAAGAAATGATAATTCTATCTAAATTAATTATTTGATTCCATCCCAAGTAAAGTATCAACAACATTTACAGAACTAGAAAAAATAATAAAATTCAACTGGAAGAACAGAAGGTCAATAATATCAAGGGAATCAATGAAAAAAAATGTGAAGGGAGGTGGTCTAGAAGTGCCAGATTTCAAACAGTATTACAAAGCAGAAATCATGAAAACAATCTGGTACTGGCTAAAATCAGTAGAATAGATTATACAACATTCAGTAGTAAATGAGTATAGTAACCTAGTATATGATAAATGCAAATATCCACGCTTTTGGGACAAGAACTCAGTATATGACAAAAATTGCAGAAAACTGGAAAGCAGTTTGACAGAAACTAGGCATAGACCAACATCTTACACCATACATCAAGATAAAGTCAAAATGGGTACATAATTTAGATATAAAGGATGCTATCATAAGAAAATTAGAGGAGTATCAAAAAATATATCTGTCAGATCTATGGATGAGGGAAAAAAATTGTGACCAAACAAGAGATACAGAAGCTCACGGGGGCAAAATGGATAATTTTAATTATATTAATTTAAAAGGATTTTGCACAAACAAAACCAATGCAGCCAAAATTTGAAGGAAAGCAGTAAACTGGGGGGAAAATTTACAGCAATTTTCTCTGATAAAGGCCTCATTTCTCAAATATACAGAGGAGTGAGCCAAATCTATTTTTAAAAAATGAATCACTCTCTCTTTGTAATGGCAAAAAAACCTAGAATTTGCAGGGATGCCCTTCAATTGGGGAATGGCTAAACAAGTTGCTGTATGTGATTGTGATGGAACACTACTATGCCTTAAGAAATGAAGAGCTCAGTGATCTTAGAAAAACATGGATAGACTTGTACAAAATGACGAAGAGTAAAATGAGTACGACTAAGAAAACATTCTATATGGTAACAGCAATGTTGTTTTAAGAACAACTTTGAACAAATCAGTAATTTTGACTATTATAAATACCTAAAATAACTATAAAGGATACATGGAGAAAGACACTAGCTACATCCAGAGAAGATTTTACACACACACACACACACACACATTTGCATTTAATGGCAGCCATCTCTAAAGCAGGGGGGAAGGGAGAAAAATTTATATATGTTTATTGTATATTTAAAAGGAATAGCAAGTTGTACATAATAGATTTCAGTTTCATGTGTGACCATTTTTTTTATTATACTGTTATGGAAATATTTGTTTTATTCCATAAATTAAAAATAAAATAAATAAATATTTTTAAAACTAATAATATGAAAAATGTGCTACATGTATAAATTAGAGAAATGGAAATTAAAAGAATTCTTAAGCTACCACCTCACATCTATCAGATTGGCTAATATAACAGGAAAAAAAATGACTAATGGAGGAGAGGATGTAGAAAATTTGGCACACTAATGCACTGTTGGTGGAGTTGTGGACTGCACTAACCATTCTGGAGAATGATTTAGAATTATGCCAAAAGTATTATAAAACTGTGCATACCCTTTTATCCAGCAATGCCACTACTAAGTTTGTGTCCCAAAAAGATGAGAGAATAAAAGAAAGACTGATATGTAGAAAAATGTGTATAGCATGTCTTTTTGAGGTGACAAAGAATTGGAAATTGAGGGGATGACCATCAATTTGGGAATGGCTAAACAAGTTTTGGTATATGACTGTGATAGAATACTATTATACTTAGAATTTGATTTGATGGAATACTATTTTATTGTATTGGAATAACAATCAGGATGGTTTCAGAAAAATCTGGGAAGACTCAGCTGAGCTGATGTAATGTGAAGCAGGCAGAACTAGAAGAATATTGTACATAGCAATAGCAATATTCTAACAATGATCAACTGCAAAAAAGATCTAGCTACTCTAATCAAGAAATAATCCAAGACAATTCCAAAGAACCCATGATGAAAAATGTTATCCACCTCTAGAGAGAGAACTCAGGTACTCTGAAGGCAGACTGAAAAGTACTTTTACTTTCTTTAATTTTCTTGTCTTGTTTTGTTTTTGCAACAGGGACAATTTGGAAATAGGTTTTTCATGATTTCACATATAAAATTAATATATTTCTTGCTTCTTTAATAGGTTGGGAAGCTGTGGGAGGGAGGGAGAGAATTTGGAACTCAATCCTTCTGACAGTGAGAGAAGGCAGCTCCAGAGGATAGTGTAGCCTACCCTGTTTCTTCTGAACTATTCTTCAGTGGAGTGTGAGGTGTCTCTTGCCAACTGATATTCTCTATACTACCTTGTGCCTGAAGGCAGAGAAGAGAACATATCTCCTAGTTCATTCATCCCAACCAGAGATGGAAGATTAGAGTGGGAAAATGGGCTAGAGAAAATGCGCTCATTTTACTCATGATCTGCCTCATTTTATTTTTTTTATGCTTTTGCCTGCTTTATCTGAGTTTTCATTTCCTCTAACCAAATACAATCAGTCCTATAAACCTGAAAAACATACATGCATGTGCACGTACACTTGTGCGCGCACACGCGCGCGCACACACACACACACACACACACACACACACACACACACACACAAACATGGGGAGCCAGAGAAGATGCCCTCCTTCAAAAAAAGAGCAGAGAGAATGACAGAAAACTGAAAAAGAAACATGTTCTTTGACCTGCCTCCCCTGCCTTCCTTCCATTAAAAAAAAAGTCTTGTTTTCCTTGTGGTGACTTAAGACTTACAAGGACTTAAAAATATTTCCTGGGTAGACTTGTTTCCTGGAAAAATGAATAGCAACGGTTAACCTCTTAACTCTCTGCAGTAAAATTTGCCTCCCCAGTTCTAGGGAAACATTTGTTTTCTTTGCTTCTAGAAAGTCCCAATTGTCAAAGTCTATTGACTTGGACTATTTCAATTTTAATTCTAAAATTTTCTTTTAAGATATGCATAGAAACTATAAAGGACTACTTATTTAACATCAGTGCCTATTTAACACAAAGGCTGGTCCTATTGTTTTTAACCATTAGAAAACAATTACAGTCCCTCTCTGGCAGGGTAGATTGAAGTTCATTATATATTCCTGTCAGAAAGAGTTGATGCAGCTTCCAAAATGACTAATATCCAAAACCAGACTAAATAAATATGTTACTTTCCACTTAAAGAACCAAACCAAAGAACCCTGGAAAACCAAAATCATGTATCAAACTACTGGATTTTTTAAATCAATTAACTCCATCAACTCATAATTTGCACAGAATGGCTTAAAATGAATTACTTTAAGGTAGAGTTTATTTAAGTGAAATGCCTTAATTAATTCAATCAGAGATTTAAAAGTAGAGAGCTAAGAGGTTATTTGGCACAATCCTCTTGTTCTGTAGAAGAGAAAGTTTGAGACCAATTGAGATGAAGTGACTTTTATGATCATAAAGATAGTAAATAATAGATCTAAGAGTCAGGCCTAAGACCACTGTTGATAAATCCACGTCCCTTTCCAATGTGAAATGTAGCCATAATTGAAAAAAAAAATACATGATGAGAAAAGTAAAGTTTCTTTACCCATATCTTGGATCCAAAGCAATAGCTCTCGGATGCTCCATAGCACCTGCTATCAGTGTTGTTCTCAGGGTGCCATCTAATTTGGCGACTTCAATTTGGTCCAAATTGCTATCTATCCAATAGATGTTTCCTGCTATCCAGTCTACTGTCAGACCTTCTGGTGTAGCTAGGCCATGTTCTACCACCACTTCAATTGCTCCTACACCTACAAAAAAGAAAAGAAAAGAAAAAAGGCAAGTTTTATTTATGATCTGAATCAAGAAAAGGAAAATGTCTTATTGAACTATGGTCAGTTGTGTAGGACAAACAACTCCCTATTTTACTGAGAAAAGATGAGGCAACTTGTAACCGAAATGACAGTTACAGTTAATGTAGTATCTAAAAAACACTTCTGTCAAATGGTGATATATGTGTATTGGATTATTCTTTTCTGACAAAATAATGTGCCCTGATTTTAATCACTTAAGGAAAGATAGTGGGTTAACCAAGCCTCTGTTTTCCACCTTCTTGTCTCTTGGTATGGAATACCTTTTTTTTTTTTTTAAGTGCTCATTAGTGGAGCCATAAAGAGAACAGTGTTTCCTTCCAGAGTGCTAACATCTCTGTGTGTGTGTGTGTGTGTGTGGTGTGTGTGTGTGTGTGTGTGTTGGGGCAGTGGGAGAGAATGGGACAGTACCATTCTTGGTCTTGACCTCTATCCTCTGGTCTGTCATTCATCCTCAACTACACTGCCTTCAACGTATAGTGAAACTGCTCCTCTTCTTTTTTTTTTCCTTCCTTAAGATGCTACTTCCAATGCTCCATAATCATGAGAATCCTTTCCCAGGGCCCACTTTCCTCCACAGCTGCATTACTTGGCTAACTTACATGTGTTGATAAGTTGGAGACCACTGACTTTTATTTGACTATACGGAAATGTGCCAGATTCTCTGGGAAATGGGCCATTCTCCTTCTCTCTGGCATTACTGTACTTAGAGTAGATTGTTCCCTGTAACCTTTGACACTATCTGAACTTATTCTGGACATAAAAAATAAAAATTATAACTCTGTATGTAAGATATTAACCTTTATCATGATAAGGCCAGGGAATTGAGGAAAACCATATATCAATCACTTGAGCTTTTAAAGACTGGAGTATTATTGAAACTATGGGCTAAGCTTTGCTTTTGTTATCTGAGATGATAAAAAGCTGACTATAGATGTAAAACTTATGAACCTAAATTTCTTATTCATGGTACTTTTCCTGTAGGTTTGATTACAGGACTGACTTTTTTTTTTAAACTACCTACAGCCTAAGATACATGATTAAAGAGACATATTAAATTAGCCTTAGTTTGACTTAAGAAATGATTTCATGGAAATATTCCACAGATAGCAAAAATTTTTGGAGCATAAAAATACTGGGTTATATGTCAGTTGAAAGTTCTAAAAAAGATGGTATTTCTAATGTTTCCCTTCAAATTTGTCATCTGTACTAATTCTGGTGGAATGGAGTATTTAAATTACAGAGAGGTTAATTGACATATTGAGGCTGATAAAGGGGTATCATTAATGATGTTTTCTGACAAAATCAAATCCAAAAAAAAAGTTTTTTTACAGAAATCTTGAAAACAGTGGTTATTTACCCATAAAATTTACTACCATTTGGCTTACTTGCAAACCTTACAAAGTGAAAGTATAGGAAGCACAAGAAGACAATTTTAATTAGTCTTCCATAAATCAGAATTTTAACTACCTGGCATCTACCTACCATTCATGTCAAATCAAATATGTCAGGAAAAATACCATTATTTTATTCTCAACAAAAAGAAACTAAGAATCATATTCTTTAAGTAATACATAAAGTTTTGACCAGCCCTCCTGGTATTTTGTGATGCAAATAGTAGCAATGCATAGAATAAGCTATTAATAGTCAAAAAAAAAGTTTATATATTATAACGGTTATACATTTTAAGCAATGTTCTTATTTTCTAATACTTCACTGTTTTCCCCAAGGCCTTAATTTTGGAAACTTAAGCCAAATGAAATAATGCTGTTCACATTTGATTATATTACTAAGTATTTGGTGGGGGGGGGAGAGATGGAGGGTTGATGATTGACCCTATAACATCTTCCACTGTATCACTTTGAATTATTTCCTCCTGGTGCCAAATAACCAGACTACAATTATACTGAAGAGTAAAGTTTTGACATGGCCACTTTTCATAAATTACAGAAGTGACTTTCAAAGTAATTAACAACTTGAAAGTTAAAAAGAAAAAAAAACTTGAAATGCACTTAGGTGGTTATCCAAACCTAAGGAAAGGAAATAATTTTAATTTGGGCAGAAATGTTTTATACTTACCATTGAGGACCTTCTTATGAACTAATCATGCGAAAACAGAAAGAAGAAAAAGAAAGAGAGTGGAATGTTCTTCACACTAGTACTTTTATTGGTTTGTTTTCAGTTATGCTATTTGACTAAATTTATAATTGGTAGAAAACCATAAAGCAAATTATTTTAACTTGAAAAACAATGCAGCCACTGTCATATGGAAGACAATATATATTTTTTCTGTATAGATGTATGTGTTTGTGTGTATGTGTATGTATGTGGGTATGTGATTATACACACATATATATTAATATACTTCTGCCTTTCCGATATAGATAAACCCATTGCATAAAATAACAACTAACATTTACATACAACTTCAACTTTGCAAAGCACTCTACAGTAATGATCTCATTTGATCTTCAAAACAAACCTATGATGTAGGTGCCATTATTATCTCCATTCCTCATTCATATAAAACCCTGGACCACATGCCTACTCCATATATCTATTGGTTTTTCATTTTAAAGTGCTTTCCTTCATTTCTCTTGTCTAGGAAACTAAGGTAGAGAGAGATCATGACTTGTATAGGATACCCCAGCTGATGCAGGACTTGAACTCAGGTTATCCTGACTTCATGTATAGTGCTCTAGCTGGTGTGGCACCTACTTCCTCCAAAATAGTATGAAAAACAAATGCTCGATTTCCTGGGAATGGAAACCAAAATCATTGCCAGTAGCTCTTGTACAATTTATGTGAGGGGCCAACACTTTATTAGAAATTATCTCCTGATGGTATTACTTTGGTACAATAAAGTTACCTGAAAAGTAAAACAAAATTCATACCTCCACTTTCCGAAAGTTTGCCTCTGTAAATTCTGTCTTCCACAACATCTGTCCAATAAAGTAAGCTCTGATTGAAGTGAAAATCAAGGGCTATTGTGTTTCTTAATCCAGGAACAAGCAGACTGTAGTCTCTCTTGTGAAGATCAATCCTTCTGATTTCATGTCGTATAGAAAAAATGATGAATGCTTCAAAGGGATCTGAAATTAAATGTATTTTAATAGAAATGTTTTAAAAATACTAAGATATTCTAGTAAATGGGAAGGAACAGTTTTAGAGAGAAATGCCCCTTTTAAAATATACATGTAACTTATTCTACCATTTCTTTTCATGAAAGGAGATATTCTTTTAATCCACAATTTAAGAAGAACTTGAAAAACTTAGGTTTCAGAATATCTACTAAGAAGATAAAAAAGAAACTTGGTCTCTTGAACGCATATGCTTTTTTATGTTCAAAAAACAAAAGCTGCGCAATCCAAGAAGTTCCCATTTTTGCTTGTTGTCAGAAAATCTATAGCCAAAGCTATTGTCCAAGTGGTGTAACCTCAGGGGCCTGCAAACATTTATTCCTTCTCTTTCCTAAAGTTTTCTTCAGATATAATTTTGGGGTTTAATTTAACTGAAAATTTCACTTAAAATATTTCATCTACTTTTAAAAAATCTACAATCTGCTTCAATAAATTAAGTGGGAGAAGGATATATCATGCATGCATATATACATATATATGTATATATATATATGTTTTATATTTGTGCACGTATATGAACATATGCATATAGAATGATGTGCATCAAGAAAATGAATTAAAAGCAAAAGTTTTATGAGTGACTACTAAATTCTTCATTATTTAGGTTTAGCTTAGGGTTTGGAGAGAAGGATTCAATTTCTGTGATTTTATTGGTATGGGAAATTCACTGTTTGCCTATGCAGAGAGGAAAGTCGCCTATAATTTATAGTCTTAGAGTCTTGACCAACATATTTTGAAGCTATGTGAATCATCCATAATCACTTAGTATACTTTGTCAGAGGAAGGACTTGGTATGCTATTCCAGTTTCAAGGCTCATTTCTCTTTGTATTACAGAACACTTCCTCTCAGATTTAACATTCATGACTAATTATGTATAAGATAGACCATGGTCTATTTGTGTTAATCTCAGGGGAGCTTCTACAGTTCTCTTGCTGTCCTAATTTTGTTTTGTTTTTTTACAAATCCAGGTAAACATTTTTGGCTTTAAATTCCTTTGTGAGGTACAACAATTAAACAGGCATTTGTTGAATGTCTAGATACTATGGGAAGTACAGCTAAAGGATAAGGCACAGTGCCTCCCCTCAAGGAGCTAACTAGTGTGTTAATAAACTGTAATGTTCAAAGAAATCCTGAGGAAAATAGAAATAAAATAAAGTAAGGGAAAGCCTGTAGGATTGAAATCTCATAAAAACTAAAAGCAGAAGCTTTGTTAGGTGATAAAACTTCTCATTGGCTAGTTAAATATTTTAAGTCCCCAAGGAAAAACTAAAAGCAAACCAGGTCTGGCAATCCACTATATTCTGCCTTAATGTTTCAGAATAATAAATCCTTATCGCTGGAATAAGCAGTTACCTCTACAGAATGATGTATTGTACACACTCAACATTGTCAAAAACTGGTCTAAGGCAGCACAGGGTTCCCCATCATAAACTGAGATTATTGCCTGTGTATTGGTTGACATCATTAAGATTAGAAAGGCTGAATGTTTGGCCAGCTTATCTCAATGCTTTGAAGCTATACATACATATACATATATGTGTGTGCGCATACATGCATACATATATGTATATGCATGTAGATACACACATAGACAACATATATACACTTTAATACACACACATACTTTTAAAAGGGGGGTGCTACATTATCTCCCTATTGAGGAACACCATCTTTCCCACAAGTTTTATAGTAAGCAGTACTGTCAGGAGCTACTTAATGAAATTTTATGATGAAGATGGTTTCTTTGTTGTGATTGATGTGTTAAGAGTGAAATCACATTTTCTCCTGACTCTGGGGGAGCTCAAAATGCTTCAAATTTGCAACCATAGCAGTGTCTTGGAGATAGGCAGTTGCTAAAATTTTTCATCTTCTAAGAGAAAATTCAGTCTGAAGGGGTCCAAGTGTGTTCTAAAAGCAAATAATTAAGTTAAGAAGCAAAACTCCATTGGCTCTGAGCAAAGATCAATCAGGGTGGTAGTGTTGCCAGCTGTGATGGATTGTGGTACTGATTGGAAATTAATACATATCTATTGATCTTGATTTTATGATGCATGATAAACCAATTTTTCAATGCTTAAGATTCATAGAAATTCACACATTCTTTAATCTTGCATTAAGGAACCTTTCTAAGTCTCTTCTTGTTTTAAGATTCTATGATTTGTTGAAATGATTACTTTTACTTTGGGGGTGCAGTGTATTAAGATTAATGAACATATAAAAGGTTAGTAGAAAAACGTAAAGATCAAGTATCTGAATTCCTTATTCTCTAAATTCCTCCTTTTACAAAATGAAATCTTATAAATGTAATATACTGAACCAGAAATGCTTCAATTTAATAATCATGTATTAACCTCCCATCACATACAACATACCATGGTAGGCTCTAGGTATGTTAAAACAAAAATCAAAACAATTCCTGTCCTCAAGGAGATTAAAGTCTATTGCTTACTTGATAAATAGCCAATGAATATTGACAGTGAATCAGCTTTCATATATAGCTAGACAACCTGAGACTCAAAGAAATTTAGCTTAAAGTCCTATCTCTTACATATATCATCTGCATGACCCTGGGACCCTAGGTATGATCTTAAACATTCAACATCCTCTGATATATCTCTAATAGAGGGATATTTAATTTTGTGTATGTGTGTGTGTGTGAAGTATCCTTTTTGTGATCTGGTGAAACCTATGTGCCTCTTCTCAGAATAATGCTTTTAAATGCATAAAATAAAACACAGAATTACAGAGAAATAATTTATATTGAAATAAAGATGTAATTTTTTTCCTATCCAAATCCCAGGACCCTCTGAAGTCTATTCACAGACTTCCTGGTCCACTCTGTGGATACTAGTTAAGAAGTCTGCTAGAATTTGAAGAACAGTTGTTTATATTCATGGGTACAGGGTGTTTTCTCACCAAAGAGTTTCCAAAACCTATGAAATTACAAGTCCTATCACACATAAAAGTATATGCATTTCCAGACATAGACATAGATTTTGAGCTGGAAAGTATTTTAAGACAACCTTCTAATTTTACAGGTGAGGCAACTGAGGCAGAGACATGTTAAGTGACTGGTGCAATTGTACCATATTTGTTTTTGCTAATTTATTTTTGGCCATAAGGGAGGGTTTCATCTGGAAGAGAAGGATGTTAAACATCATTGGCACGTAATCACAAAAAGAATCAATATAATGTACTTAAATGTGCATAGAAAGGACAGGAGAAAGGACTAGAGTGGGAGAATAACAATTTACTGGTTTATTTTAATTTTAATAGAACTGGATATATTTTTCTTGGGGGACAATAGCTGAACTCAATCTGACATGAATGTCAGTGGCATTCTGAACCAGATATCAATTTTTACTTCCAGTGCTTTTTCAGTGTATCTACTCCTCATCAGTCATTGAACTTAAACACCCCAAACCATCACAATATGCACAATTACCTTCTTAACATAGAAGTGACTTGAGAATTATGTGCTTCAGAATATTCTATCTGATATTATAAGTACAAATCCCAAAAGGCCATAATTTGCATTTTCTCAGTGAGGAGATTTGTGTTTGAAAATGTAGTATATCCATCAATTGACTGCTTTGTGACTTTATTCTATATGGAAGACCTAGTAGTCTTATCCTCAATCTACTATTAGACTTCCTAGATATTTTCTATTTTTAATATATATGCTTTATTAATGACTTTTATGAATAAGACTATGAAAACAATAGATGAGATATCTTGCTGAGGCAAAGATTCCTCCAAACTTCTCCCAGGGCACCTTGGCAATGTATTTGAATAGCTATTTCTATACAAAGTGCCACCGGTTCATTATTATTATTATTTATTACAAATAATAGTGCCACTGGTTTATTATTATTGTTATTTATTACAAATAATACATTATACTTTTGTTACTCCACACTTTCACCAATTTTATTATTCCATGTTTTCCATAATACATATTTCTAATTTATTTTCTGTTTGAATATTTAAGTGCTAAGTAGGCCAACTCTACTCTAGCTTAATATCATTTACTTTCTCTATCCCCTCAGAGCTATGAAAAAGGAAATGTTACAATGCATCATGAATTTTTTCTTAAAAAGAGCCTTAAATTGGAAATTGGGAGGTGTAAGCTCTAGATCTGGCTCTCTTCTTTAAAATGTTATTTTGTATTTGTTTATTTGCCTGATAATTACATTTTGTAACCCTTACTCCCAAGTAGAATGTAAATCCCTTAAAGATGCGTTTGTTTTATTTTTCTCTTTCTTCATATCTCTAGCGCTTACACAATACTTTGGACATAGTGGGCATTTCATGTTTGCTAAATTGTACTTGGCTACATTTACGGCTAGAAGAATCCATTGGTAGAGTGCTAGGCTTGGAGTCAGGAAAACTTGAGTTCAAATCTGCCCTTAGACACTTGCTAGCTATGTGACCTTGGGTAAGTCACTTAACCTGTTTTCATTAATCCATTGGAGAAGGAAAAAAAAATGTCAAACCACTCTAATATCTTTGCCAAGAAAACTCCATGGACAGCATTGGTGTGCTATGCTCCTCCTGGTCATGAAGAGTTGGACATGATTGAACTATTGAACAACGATTAAAAACAACTGGCTACAATTCATTTAAGCTCTCTAGGCCTCAGTTTCCCCATGTATAAAATGAAAGATGTTACACCAAGTAATCTCTAATATCCTTGTAAGATGTAAAATTCTATGATTTGTTTATTACCAAATATGGGCCATGTTGAGCAAAAAGTAAGGGACGAGATGAGCTATTTAGATGTCTACCAAACCTATGTATTCTGTGGGGTTTGATGACTGCCTCAGTATTTCCCAAAGATGATTTTTGTGGTTATCACTCTTTTAAATTTCTTCCTGAATTCTACCTGTTATGCCAGTGTTGTGTTACACTATACTTACTCTATTAATCTCTGTTAGGAACCAGAACAGTTGAATATTAAGAAAAAGTAGAAAACTGTTGTGAGGGAAAGAGAACATAAAGAAAAGGAAGTAAGGGAAAGAAGTTATGGGGAGAAGTGCAAATAAGAGAACATCTTGGGGAAATAGAAATCACAAGTAGCCTGACTGAAGCAAAACTGAGGAAAATAACAAGTTCAATAGAGAACCAGGAAAATACATTGTTATGTAAACAAGTCCTATTTAAAGAGATTCATGGTTTCATGCACAGTCTTCTTCTGTTCTGTATTGTCTATGTAAATTCTCATGTAGTGTGATGTTTAATTTTTAAAAATTAAAGAAATGAAAAAAGATGTTGTTGTGGAAGTTAAGGAAGGAGTTTTAAGAGGGAAGTGACCAATAGCATAAAAGAATTGTAGTCAGGAGGTGGAAAAGAATGACATCAAAGGAAAAACTACTTGATTTATCTAGGAAATCACAAATGACATTAGACATATTAGTTTCAATGAAAGGTGATAGAGAATCATAGAAAGAGCACTGGACTTGGAGTCAGGGGAGATGGAGGTGTGAATCCTAATTCCAAGAGTTAATTGCTGTGTTACCCTGAATATATCACTTTACTTCTCTAAGACTGAATTTTCTGATCTGTAAAATGAGGTTAATAATATATAGATGACCTAAATTTTTGAGCTATTGTGCAAGAAGAATTCATGAACTTTAAGTAACAACATAAATGTGTTACTTATTAATTCGAATGATGGGTCAGAAACTAGCCCAAAGGGACTTTTAAAAGGGAAGAGGTGAAAGTGAAAATGATGGCAATAAATGGAGAAAAAAGTAGAAAGAAGAATGAGATAATTAGGGAAGAGAAAAGGGGGAAAATGAAAAAAGTGGTTATTTGATTTGAAGCTTAAAAATTTTTTTTGTTTCTTTTCCAAAAATAAAAGCCAAGAGTGACCAGCAGAAGTAAAATAAATAAACACAGAGATCACACCTTTCAGTGAGAGCTGAAAATTTTGGAAGATATGCTGAAGGACATGAATAAAAGAGTAAAAAGAGTAAAATATGTCCAGGGTTGGAGAGTTTTGTTGAACTCCCTTCTCCATTTTTATTTATTTTATTTATGGTTCTCTGTGGTTCTCTAGTATATACTGGAAATAAAACACACATTTGCAATAAAATTTTATTAAAAACAAAAATAAATTTGAAAATGAGAATGAGCAAGAGAAGCAAAAGTTTACAAATTCCATAGGGTCTGTCTCTAAGTACATACATATGATGTAATACAGACATTTATTATTAATAATTTTAAGGATTTTCTCTTTGGCAGAAAAAATTGCAGGGAATGACTACAGATAAAATACACTTTTATAGGACACACAATCTAATATATATTGGTTTCCATTTAATCTGTGTCCCCAACCAACTATCTAATTTTGTAAGAGGCACAACAGCTGATCATCTACATGAACAGAGGCATCTTCTTCACCCAGAGCTCACTATAGCAGGTCATCCCCCCCCCTCGCCCCCAAAAGGCGGTATGGTGGGAAATGAGTGAATTAAATCAATAATTACATTGCCTAGTTATAATAAAGAAATGTCATCTAGTTATTACAAAAGAACATCATAAGATTCACTATTCACTTTTTTCCTTTGTTGTGTAAGGTTAAATTTCACCTTTAACAATGACAACAAAACCCCTCTTACTTCTGATGTCTAACATTGTTGGTTAGTCAGCTAAGTCTCTTCAAGCCACTCAGGGACAGAGGAACCTGTTTTATGATTCAGTTGACTTTCTGTACTTATAAGGAGAGGCTTTTTTTTGTTCCTTTGTGTTTTAGTGACTTTCAAGATTTTATTTTTTGATAACATCATTAAACTAGTGAAAAGTTTGGTCGTATGAAGTGTGCTCAATGAAATTCAGAAGGGGATATGTGGATTATATGGTTATTGTTAGCATCATGTTTATTGGGAAATGAATTTAAGGTATTGTCTAGCCCTTTAAAGATGCTGTTCTGTAAATAAAACCTAAACCACATATGAAATATTGCTGCTTTGAAACAGGAAAATGACATATTACTACTGTTATATTCAGAACTAGGAACAGGAGAGGTGAATCCATTAAAGAGCTTTTCTCAACAATCAGTCACTTATTTTCAAATGTTGAATGATTTCAATAATGTGCTTAAGTTTTTAATTCCCATAGAGTATGAAATGACTCTGAAGAAGTTCAATCATTTTGGCATCTCTATCCAAAAATCAGATACGTAGCTAAATTCTGGCTGGGGACAGGGACAAAAATTGTCTCTGAGGTAAAAATTTAGTCTATAGAAATTTGACTTTGAACATGTATGTGAATGAAATGTATAATATCAGCGAGACAAATTGCTGATATATTTTATTGTTCCAGCTTCTCACATCAGTAGTCTACAAAAGGGTCTTATGGGAGAAAAGGTGATATAAATATCTGCCAAATTTATGCCTCCAAAATTTCAAGCTTCATGACTAGAATGAAAAGCAAAAATAACTTTTGTTTTAAAATATTAATAAATGTAATTTAATGTTGTGTGATATTTAAGTAATTACTTATATGCCTTTTGTTCAAACTGTTGGACTATGGGGACAATGCAAAAAAAAGGCCCTTGCACCAGTAATTTACACTTGTATTCTGGAGACAAAGCATGAAATATGATTTAATTGAGGTAAGAAATTATTAAGTACCAAAATGAGTAATACATCCAATAAATACTTCTGGTGTTGAGAGAAGAAGGAAATACAGGTTGAAATGGTTACGGAAGATTTTCATGAGAAAGGAAAGACAAACAGGACTTTGTAGAATGGGCAAAATTTGAATATGTTTTAGACAGAAAGAAGAGCATGAACAAAAGGCTTTGAATTTGGAATAAATTTGATAAAATACATGACATTTTCAGGAGCTCAGCCTTCCTGGATTGTTTGTGCTGCATTAGAGAAGAGATTAAGTTTGGACAGAAAAAAAAATCACAGATTATGGTTGGCCATGACTGTCAGGTTGTGAAACTAGACTTCATTTTTCAGACAATGTATACGCATTTGAGACTTTTCATGAAGAGTATGACATACCAAAAGTGAAATTTGAGAAAGATGATTCTCTTTGTGGAGTAAAATGGATTGAAATAGGGAGGGAATAGTGCTAATGATTTTGGAATCTGATTCTGGAGGGAAGATTAAAGCCTGTCAGTCAACAGTTAACATATATGTATTAAGTACCAATTACGTGCTAGGTAGGCATTGTGCTAAAGTACTAGGGATACAAAGACAAATTATATTATTTATCTCAAATTTCTTTCAATATTTATTTTTGCTTTGCTAACTGTAGTTATACAAAATTTGGGTTTATGAGACCATACATTTAAAACTACAAGGGACCTTGGAGGCCACTAAGTCTATCCCCACCCTCATTTTTACAGATGAAGAAACTGACTGTGGGAGAGGTTAACTGACTTTCCAGGTTTACCTTTAAAATAAAACAAAAATATACAAGATAAAATAAAATAAAATAAAGTAAAATGCACAAATCTACTTACCAATACTAGTACAACTTTCACCATCCATATTTAGTTTCCAACCTTCATAACATGAGCACTTGACTGAATGTTTGTGTTGTTCACATACTTGACTACACTTAAGGTGTTTGCCACAATAATCCACAATTTCACATGTTTTATTATCAGGGTTGAGTTGCAATCCTGATGGGCATGAACACACAATTCCTCTCCCAGGAACAACAGAACAGTGGTTGCTACAGCCTCCATTGTTCAGAGAACATTCATCTTCAAGACAGGAGAAACAAAATTAATAAGAATGGTAATCAATCTCCATCTGGTAATCACTACCCATTAAGCCCAGTTCTATAATAAATAATTTGGAACCTGAGATAGTATAAAGTTATATAGGAAATAAGCCTATTGGCTTATGGGGTAGAGTAGGTCAGGGGAAATTTGAGGAGAAAATCTGAGTCCCTTAAGAATGAACCGAGAAAAAGATTTTCCTCTTTATGGCTTTGGAAGGTGGATTGGTAAAGCCTGCAGAGGTAAAGTAAGCTCATCATTTTGCCATTTGTGGTTGTGCGGGAAAAAATGTTGAGCAGAACCTCTTTGCTGTATAACTTCAACATTATAGGGATCAAAATAGTCCTAAATTGCAGCCTTTACATAGCTGGCTTCCTGAAGAGTCAACATATGATATAGTAAATGAGGCTGTCCCTCACTGGTTGTAGAGACCCTGATCTACTAGTTTAATGCATTGCACACAGTGGGCATTCAGAAGCTGTGAATAAACACAGTTTTTGAAAATAATTGCTTCTTTGTTTTGCATGATTTGAACAATTAATGATATTGTTACTGTAGTCAGTATGACTGATTGTATAGGAACCCATCCTGAACACATTCTAAAATAGGTATATTCCAAGATACTATTTCTATACTACAGAAAAGCACTCACCATTCATTGCAACTATCTGCTATTAGATACTTAAATTGCAATATGACCAAGCCATTGTTTATGTCTAAAAGACTCTCTCTCTATCTCTCTCTGTCTTTTTCTTTCTCATTTATTTCTTCCTTTTACTACTTTTTTGGGATTGCTCAAGATTTCTTATACAATTTTTATTTTTGTCTATTGAGAGATACAACAACATTATTTTGTTACTGGATTAAAGATTACAACTAATTAGAATATCCTATATTTGTCCATTCAGCTTTCTCTGGTTTTCAAAGTCAAGCTGTAAATATAAGGTATTTTTACAAAATTTTCTACATTTCCTACTTTTATGTAAGTCAATTTTTCCTTTTGTTATCTTCTCCCTTTAAAAGGAAGCAACAGTAATAAGTAAAGGAAAATGATCACATTAACAATTTTCTTTAGGTATTCAATCCAAGTATGCTTTGATTTTAGAAGAAAAATTAGGTCCATTTCTGGGTTCAACCAAGTATGTTTGCTTGCCCCTAATCATCATCATTTCAAAACAGCAGTCATTTCAAAGTATTTGCCCCATTTTAGCTCAATCGACATTCTCTTCCATGAGAATTGCTGTGAAGAAATGTCAGTCTGCCCAGCAGGCAACATAAAATTGCTACAAGGCTCTTTTAGCTCATTTCAAACATGACTGTTTCTTTAGTAGTGAATGTCACTTTTTGATATTATCTGCAGAATTAAAATATAGAAGAATTTTTACATTGAAAACTCAAATTGAACAAATAAATTTAATTCCTAACATTTACATAGAATATATCGCATCTTTTTTTCATTGCCTGACAGCTGTTATTAAACACTACTCCTATTTTAAAAATACATTTTTTAAACTTTTAGACAGTGTACTTGCATGTCAAACTTCTTTTGGGTTCCTCTAACTCATTTCTCTTTGTGCTCCAAATCACTTAAGTCCATCCCTTCAATAAAATTATTCTTGTCTTTGTTAAAAATACTGTTTGTCTTATGATTTGTGACTCCATACTCTAACATGGCTTTGTGAAGCTACCTATGATTTTATCTGTCTCTAATTTTATTTTTAATACATTAGAATTTCCATCCTAACGATGAAGAAGGAAGTGACTGACCTATGGATATCTACAGAGAGGAAAAATCCTTTTTTTCTCAGCAGAATTTTTTGAAGAATGTCTTCAAAGTGACTTTGCTTTTGGAACAGACATAGCCATGGGTCCAAGAGGCACATGGAATATTCCCTCTTTCTCAAGAGTCACACAATTTTAGAGTTGGAAGCGATAACTTAGTACCACATACTCAACAAGTATTAATCCCACCACTGTATGAAGACTTCAAATTGCAGGGGGGGGGGGTCAGTACATTATCTAGCCAGACTGGCCAATCACTAAGTACTGTGGGTAAATATAAATAGTAGAAAGTTTTCCTTTAAAGCAATCCTAAATTCGTCTCCTTGTAAGTTACCCATGTCCACTTCCTTCTCATTGTTCCTATTTCTACTCTCTGGGGCCAAAAAGAACAAGTCGAAATCTTCCATGTGATAGTCTTTCAAGTATTTGAAAACACCTATCCTATTCCATTTAAATCTCCTATTCTGCAGGCTAACCATCCTCAGTCTCATCACCCACTTCTGCGACATGAAATTCCTGCCTTCATACGTGTCTTTTCTTAACATTCCACAGCCTGTAGATAAAGAGGGAAAATCATGAGCATGCCCTGTTATTCATCTCCCTGCTCTCTTCACTTGTTTTGTTAGTGGGTCCCTGGCTTATTTCCTAGAATTCTGTTACCCTTTAATTGACATAATTTTGGTATCCATATGACTTGTTATTTTTTTTTAATTCTAAACCTTCCCTCATTGCCTTTATAAAGACAAAGTCACTTGTTAATAGGGAAAGTTTACTCTAGAATCAGTTGTTTTAGGTAACAGACAAAAATATGCAAGAAGAGCAGCTGACAATAATATAAATCTAATCAAACTGTGGGCTGTTATTTGGGGGCCTAAATTTTTTAAAACTTTTGAACCAAGGAATTGAAATAATTGTGCTCATTGTTTCAAAGATCTTTTATAGAACTTTGATCTCTGTGGAAGAAAAGAGACAAGATTATATAAATTTTAAAAGAATAACAGCCTTATTGTATATCACTTAGCATTCTGTCATTGCTCAATTAATGTTATCAAAATCCATGATAACTTCAGGCTTCTACTTAGCTGTCTCTTCAACCCCAATCATACACCCTCATTATTCCCTACAGTTATATTCTCACAGTATCAAGGCTTGTCATTATGATTATCATTCTGTAAACTCTTCTTCATTACTGTACTGTATGTCACCTTCAGTGTTATCTGTATAGCACTTTTTTTTTAATCTCCACGGAAATTCTCTGATCTACCCACAGAGAAAGAAATGTTTCTCCCCCCCTCCACTGGAGCTCTTTAGTATTAAACACAATTAATTACAAAGCTCAACATTCATCAATTGAAATGATCATTCAAAATAGCCACAGCAAAACAAAGGAAAAATATAAAGTAAGGCCACCACTTATGTCATAAACTTAAGGAGGATTATATATAATTAAATAATATCAGGAATGATTCATTATCCAGGTTGTTTCATTATGTAACAGTACTTATAGAATGATACGTCTTTCTTAAAAATGGTTTAAATCAGAAGAAGATGTCAAATTTGTAACATCCTTCATATAGATAAATGAAAACTAGATGCAAGCACCTGTTTTAGGCCATTCATTGACCACATACAATACATTTAATTTTGACTATTTTTTTCCATACAAAGGACACCCAAATGGTTAGGATACCAATTCATCAGGATGCCATTTATTAGTTTCTCATTTCTTCCTTAGAAATCTAATTATTTTTAGAGTCTCTTCTATAGAAACAAAATGTGTGAAATATGAATTGTCAGCTTTCAGTGCTAAAAGCTTCATTACAAAGAAATGATTTAGAGAAACAATATCATATTATATTAAGCAGTGGTGGCCAAACAAAAAAGGCTTTGATTTCAAAGGAAAACATAATGTGCAAAAACAAAACAAAGCAAAAATGAAAGCCACAAAATACCACAGAGATCGCCTTCATCAGATCCATCAGGGCAATCTTTTCTTCCATTGCAAAGCTTCTCTGGTTGCAAGCAGATGGATGTGTCATTAGCACAAGGGTATTTTGGTGGTCCACACAGGAAACTTTCACAATCATCCTCATCTGATTGATCTTCACAGTCGATATCTCCATCACATACCCAGGCTTTATTAATGCATCTCCCTAAGGAAAAGAGAAAGAAATGTACAGCAGGCTATAAAATGAGGCCCTATAGAAATGGATGGTTGGGGTTGCCTTCAATCATGAGCAAAGTTAGTATTTATGAGAAATTTATTAGCAGATAATCGAACAACTTGCTTTTTTGAAAGCATTTTGACTGGGCTTGACATGGAATAATAAGATTTCATCCATATTAAAATGAATCATCTTGATATCTGCGTTAGATTTAAAACATTTTCTATACCTCTAAGTAAAGATCCAGTGACTAATTATGAGTGCAAATGAACTATTTTAGAAACTAGCTTTGTGGACCCACTTCATATGTCTTCAAAGCTCCTAATCGCCTTAATAGGAACTCTGGAACCACATAAGTACTATGAGTCTTAATAAGAAGAGAAACAACCCTAATGCCTACAACCCATCCTCATGGCCAAAGTACACAAAGAAACATCCTGTCCAAACACAAAAAATGAAAGACTGTCTTTCTAAAAAAAAGTCATGTAATTCTTCATTTTGATAACAAATCTTAAACATTATATTGTAAGCTCCTGAATGCTTGGAACCATCTTTGTAGCATTAGTTCTTAGCATAGTGCTTGAATCTATTAGGTATTTAATGAAAATTTAATGAAATGAATTGACACATGTTTTCATAATTTCTATTTACAGTTTTAAAAGAATGTTTTTTCTACATGATTAGTTAAATCTTTTATTTTCAAAACCATGAAATGCACATGTCAACTATCTGTCTGACCCACACAATGTATGACACCCTTCAACAATATCTCAAATAATATTTACATCAGCCAACTTGACTTGAGCACTTCCAGTAATGGAAAACTCATTGACATGAAAAGTAATCTATTCCAATTAGGTAAAGTTTTAAATGGCAGATTTTTTTTCTTGATATTAAACTAAAATCTGTATCCCTGTTCCCTCTTTTCACTGGTCCTCATTCTGCCCTTTGCACCTATAGAGGATAAATGCAATCCCTCTTCTAGGTGACAGACCTTCAGATATTTGAAGACCATGAGCATGTTCCGTAAACATACATACACATATTATATATGTATATCTATGTGTATATGACTGTTATAAATTTCTATTTTTTCTATTGAGCTAAGCATTAAAAGTCCTTTTAATTATTCCTCAAATTACAAGTTGTTGAGGTCAATTATCATTCTGTAGGTACTTTTATTAATATCCCAAATGAAACGTGATGCCCAAGAAATTAATACATTATTCTTAGTATGGAGTAACCATGGAAGAGCACATTGGGATAATTAGCCCTATTATTCTGGGCATTGTAAATTTATTGATGTTGGTATCAACCTTTTTGGTAATCATGCTACACTGCTGATCCTTGTGAATATTTCAATTATTTAAAAGCATTGTGCTCTTTACTTATTAAGTGCTATTAAATCACATCTTTCTCATCCTGTATTTGTCCAACAGATCTTTTGAATCTTAGAGTTGAATTTCATGTTTATCTCTGTTATATTTTATTTGACAGTTTGGGTCTACCACACCAGTATTCAAGATTTGCTTTAACACTAATTATATCACACTAAACATTGGGTATCTTTCTCAGGTTTTTGTCATTTAAGAATGACAGAATTTGAGAGTGAAAAGTAACCTTAATGGCCATCAAAGTCAACCCATTGAAGAAAGGAGCTCAAACTGTAACGTAGGCAACAAATTGTCTTCCAGTCTCCTTCTAAAGATCTCCAAGAAGTGAAAGTAGGGCATGGGGAGGGGGGGGGAACCACCATCTCTTAAGGCCATCTGTTTTATTTTGGAATAGCTTTAATTTTTATAAAATTTAGGTCTAAATTGGCCTCTTTGAAACTTTTTCACATTGTTTCTGGTCTATCTTTTGGAGCCAAATAGAACAAGTGTCATTTTTTTCTCCACATTGTTGTTGATCAGTTGTTCCAGTTATGCCCTACTCTTTGTGACTCCATTTTTGTGTTTTCTTGACAAATATACTGTAGTTTCCTTGTCCAGTTCAATTTCATAGATGAGAAAACTAAAGCAAACAAGGTTAAGTGACTTACCCAGGGTCACACAGCTGGTAAGTATCTGAGGCTGTACTTGAACTCAGGAAGATGACTTTTCCTGACTTTAAGCCTGGCAGTCTACTCATTGAAACACCTAGCCCTTCAAATATTTGAAGAAATGTATCATTCCTTCTTCAGTTTCTTTCATCTTTCCTGTAGGCTACACAGGTCTGGTTCATAGTTCTTTATATATTATGGACTCAAGGCCTTTCCCCCTTTTGTTTATTTTGTTTATTATCCTTTGGGCAGTCTCTAGCTTATCAGATGTCTTTTTAAACTGTGGTGCCCAGAATTGAAGAAAATACCTCAGGTAAGAGCTTAAGAGAGCAGATTATAGTTGTTCTATCATCTCCTTAATCCTGGAAGCTCTGTCCCTCTTTACACAGACCATAATCACATTAGGGTTTTTTTTTGGACTGCTACATCACAAGGCTGACTCATTAGCATTCAGTCCACTAAAACCCCCAGGTATTTTTTCAGAATAGTTGTATATGCCTCCCCAGTGTCATACTTATAAAATTGACATTTTTTTTATGTCTAGATGCAATACTTTACTTTTTTTTCCTATTGAATTTATTCTTATTAAATTCTTTCTCAAATTTGATTGGCATACCTTCCCTTCATTTAAATCACTGATCAAAATGTTGACTAGGACAAGATGGAGGATAGAATTTGTGATACAAACTAGGGACCTCTTTCTTATAACTCCATTACTCAAATGCATTTCTGATTTCATTTTGGGGGTATTCCTTTGAATGATGCATATCACCATCCATGTCTGTCTATTCTGTTGGACTGTAGTCCATATCATTCCACCAATTTACCATGGAACTTTTCTCACATTGTCCTCCCATTGTTTGGATAACAATAGCACATGCCAGCTGGTCACTTATTGTTCTTCATTCTCAATACTTGACCAGGCTATCTTTTTTTTTCCTGACCAGAGCTTTCTTTGAAGACATTCTTTACTCTACTTTTCTTGTATTATTCCTTGTTTTTAATGTGTTGCACCCTGCTCACAGGGTACTCTATATCTCTTCATTTCCAGTTGGGATTTTATCAATTTTAATAGCAATGATCAATTTGTTAAAGAGCATTCTTTGCATACTTTTATTCAACTAGCTATGAATCTACCTAGCATACAAATGAGAGACTTTGAAAAATTCCTTAGTGAATTCCAAATGTGCTATAAATACAACACTCCCTAGGTGAACTAGTCTAATATCCATATGAAAACAGAAAATGTGGTTAGCTCAGTATGACCTTTTTAGTGAACTCACGCTGATACACAGCTTCTGAATTCCAATGCTTTGTGTGTCTCTTTTAAGGTGAAGTTTTGTTATGGTTTTAAACAAAGAATGTAGATACGAAAGCTTTCAGGTATGTAAAAATAATCACATATATGAATATACATATATAATACATCTTTTCTAATTAATAAAATACACAAAATAATTAATCTAAAATATGCATAAAGAAAAGATAACTTGATATTTAATGTTTTTTAATGTGAAATTTGAATAATTCATAAAATGATAGAATTTTTAAAATCTTGATAAACATACATTCAACCACTCTCATTTTCCAAAGGGGGATACTGAGATCCAAAAAGTTTAGATTACTGGTTCAAGATCTAGAAATTAATTAGAGATAGAAAGAAAACAAAAACTTGGGTTTCCTGACTCTACTGTTTTAACTACAGTATAATAAAATGATTATGATATGATATTTGATATGACATACGATGATATGATAAATGATATTTATCCTCTTTCTTCTGCATGTCTCTGCTGAATATTGCTACTTCTTCAATAAATGTCTTCTGACCCTGGAACTGCCTTTTTTTCCCTGTAAATATGCTTCCAGTAAAATCCTACTCCAATGCCTTCTCATAGTGTGTAGAGGCAACATTTGGTCCTTGAAACTCTTGCCAACAGAGTGTAAACTGTCCTGGGTCTTACCAAATTGGAAAGGTTTCATTTATGGCATTGTGACAGATTATCATTTAAGGACTAATATATGAAAGTTCAGAGAGGCTTATTACCAGAATGTTGGTCACAAGGTGAAAAATTACTTAGGTCACAACAAGTCATAAAACTCTGTAGGAAGGCACAAGCACTTGTGATCTTGCGAAAGAGTGATGATGAAAACAACGATGACATTGAGCGTAAAGAAATTCTTACATGATTTTTCATAGACTTTTAATATGTTAGCTTGCACCTACAGTCGTCCATATTTTTGTATCTCAGAGAGGTTAGATTGGTATAGATCTACTTTTCAGACTCTTATAAACTCATTTAGTTTTAATTATCATTTGACACAGGATTCTTTATTTACATTTCCCATAGATATAAGAATGCCCCACTATCAATTTGACCTCAACAAAAAAATTTCAATTAATTACTCAGCTGAATTTTCCTATTCCTGCTGGATAATATGCAAATATGGCATGACTGGAATGTTGATTCTGTAGGATACAAGAAACACAGTTTCCCATCTCCAAATAAAATCATGCAGATCTTCAATATCTATTTTTATGTAACCATAATCCCCATTTTGCAGTTAGAACTATAATTAAAATTATATCTGAATCTTAGTCATAATTTATTTTAGATTTTTTTTAATTTTAGGGTTTATAAATTTAGTCTTACCAAACTTCCCATAATTCTACAAATTTGTGGTTTTTTTCCATGTTATCAATTTAACTTTAAGGTATTGCAAATTATGCCCATCTGAAGGAAATTACACAGCACTTACAAATTGCTGATTAATGAATATAATGAGAAAACCCCAAATTAAACTTCATACCACACTGAGAACTATATCAACTGTTAGTCACTAAGTTTAAGCACACATAATATTTCCTAGTGTTCTCTGCAATGGTACTTTGCAATTGGTTAACTTCATATACAAAACTACATTAGAGTTATTATGGCTATGTTCT